TGAGAAGAAGTACTCGCAGCTCTCCGCAACGGGCCGGCTTTGCTTTTCATTAGAAGGGCCTTTACGTTTGAAAGCAAATTAGGAAGAAAGGCTCAGGGGAGGTAGCTATCGAGGTTTCGCTTGCTTGCTTGCTTGCTTACTCACACACACGCACAGAAAGGCGTGGAGGCAACGCCAGAACTAATTTCAGTAGTGGCAGCCTAACTGCTGCTATAAGGGATGGGACTTCGGTTCTGATGCCGGTTTTACCAGTCGCCAGAAACTCTGCCTCTGAACTTCATCGGTTTCAGATGTGAAGTTAAATTGGCGGGCATATACCGGGCTGCTGACATGAGGGGGCCTTTGTGCAAAACAGCGCTTCTCTCTCTCTCTCTCTCTCTCTCTCTCTCTCTCCCCACACTCTCTCTCTCTCTCTCTCTCTCTTCCCCCCCCCCCCCAATCCATCGCCCACGTCTTGAGCATTAAGAAGCCTTCCAGGTTCTTTGGGTAAGATGTACAAAAGGGCTAGGATTAAAATTAAACTTTTAGGCCCCACGTAAACTGTAAAGCTATTGTGGGGCTACTTTAATAGCCATTATCATTTTGAATAAACTTAAATTATTTTGTTTAAAACTAAGATTTTGTTTTTAAAAGCATCCGTTTCGCCATTTTCTTACCTTTCCATCTAGCAGCTACATTCTAGCTTCTTCTTGTTCCGATTTTTTTTTAAAAAAAAAAAACATTGTAGGAATAAGATGCTTTTTTATGGCTTGGGGGTTTACCAAATGTTACATCATGATGCAATATATTAGGCACCAGAAAATTGTTCGACATCTCCGTTCCTTCATTTCTCGAAATGGAAAAAGCCTTGAAAAAAATTTCTACATAAAAACCTTCAAACCATTCAAACTCTATTGTCTGTTGTGAAATTTTGCTGCTCAAATGTTCACCGAGCCCAGCAGCTCTAGCCCACCGGCACCACTTCCTTGCCAAGCAAACTCTTATTTCCAATAATTTTTGGCCTATCTATTTCAATAAGATTGGGTGAATGAGTTACAGTACTCCTTTCAGAGAAAACCTTACAATTGAAAACTTCTCGCACCTTCTTAAGTTTAGGTCTCTTCTGAGGTAGGGGGCTTGTTTCAAGCTTTGGTCTGCTGCAATTTATATTCTCACCTCTTCTATTACTTGGGTTCAATGGGACTTCTCTTTGAACAATTTAACAACATTCCCTTAGCAGAGACTAATCTGCTTGTCTCTTCTCACCTGTTTTTGCCAAGGAAACAATCTGAACCTGACTTGGTAAAATGCTAAGGAACGGGCTCCCAGGTTCATATGTATCCCAATCCAATTCCCCCATTGCAGTATTTAGAAATGAGTTCTTCAGACAGCTGAGTTTGAAGCCAACTAAGCCATATGTAGGAAATAAAATCCATGCTGCAACCTCGTGCTTACTCAGGAGTAACTATCTCCAAGGAACTTAGTTCTTGGCAAATGCACCCGTTATGATACAAAGCAATAGCATAAAAGTAGACAAATAACTTGAATTCTGCAAATTTCTGTCTTGAAGTTAATGGATAAAATAATCGATGGCCCAGGCCCTATATATTTACCACCTAGCATGTGTTCCCTGCTGTTTCTTTTCACCTACATTCTTCTCTCTCCTCTTTTAATAGTATTTATTCTTTATTAAAGAACAGTATAGTTAGAAAAAGACGGGAAGGAGGAGACCTCACATCTTTAACACATAACACAACAACTTAAGTAGATGAGGGAGGAAACCTCACATCTTTAACACATAACACAACAACTTAAGTAGATGAGTTGATCCGAAGGAAATGTGCACTATCTTACTACACAAGAAAATACAGAGGTGTTCTTAAGTAAATAGCTAAATTGTTTTGTCTAACATTTATTCAACATAATAAATACAATAACAAAATAAGGACAATGGAAGATAATTGGACTACAGCACAATCCTACATGTGTCTGTTGAAAAGAAACCTTGTTGCACCCAGTAAGGGTATCTCCCTAGTATATAGAAATAGAGGATTAAATTTAGATTACAATCTTAGCATGATTACTCGGAAGTAAATTCCACTAAGTCCAATCAGTTTCTCCTAGAAGTGCTTGGAACTATAGACTAAAGCTATTTAGAACTGATGCCTGCGATTCTCTTTCAAAGAAAGTTTTACCCAGATAATAGGGCAGCCCCATATTTATTTCAAACAAACCTCGAAGTGTATAATCCGGTGCAATTCTATGAACAGTATTCCTATTATCCAACTTCAAGATATTGAGACATGTAAGGCATTTGATCACTTTGTATGTGGACCCTAAACTTTTCCAATAAAATTAGTCCAACTTAAAATAATTTGGTTCTACTACCAATTCCCATTAATTGTACTAATTCGCAAACCCGTTTTACACAACCCTGAAAATAATTACAAGGAATGAAGTTCTGCTGGGATCCACTGCTTTTACTTCTGAATAGGATAACAATCCAATTTCCTTCAAAAAAAAAAAAAAAAAGCACAATCCAGGGAGTGATATTTTAAAATCCACTATTTTTAAGTGGGAAATCCTAAGCATATATACTCCAAAGTTAAACCTCATTTAATACAATGGAACTTCCTCTCAGGTGAATATTATCTCATATACTTTTATTTAGAAACTTAAACAAAATATAAAACAAATGCATCCAACATTTTGGTGGCCCTCTTCTAAGTTATTTCAGTGGAATTGGTTCCTGCTGTCTGCATATTTGGAAGTAAACATCACTACTCTGAACTAAAATGTTTATCCCCAACTTTGAGCTCGTCTGAACCAGGGTCTCAACAAACCTCCCACCTGCACCCTCTAGCCTTGTGTTTCCATGGACTCCATGTTCCCTAAGGCACATTCCAAAGGGAATTTTTCCTTCACTTGAAATAAATGGGAGCTGGACAACTGTTCTGAAGTTATTCTCTTTAAGTTCCTATGCTGAATGGCTTTACCTAGAAGAAACATCTATTTAAATCAGCATCAAAAATACTTTGGGATGTGGTAATGGTCCCATTAGGATTCACAAATTGAAATATTAAAGGATTACCAGGCTGCCCCCAAACACCTGGAACGGAGACTTTCACAGGAATGGAGGAAATTCTGATCTTTGGTGTCTCCCTTAACTGAAATTTCATAGAAGAATTTCTTGTCCCTGTCGTTTTTAAAGTTTAAAAATGTTAAAGTATTCCTGATACTCCTAATATTTGCATGAATTCCACCAATTGCTTTCCCGACTAAATCATGAGTAGATTCTGATTCTGATTTTACTTTATTCAATTTGTATTCATTTCAAGGTGGTCAAAGTGGTCAGCCTAACCTTTTTTCATGTATTAAAATATACATCTCAAAACAAATGGAATTGCATCCTCCCCTAGGAAAAAATATTGTTGGTTGTTCCAGACCAAATAATTATTATTATATTCACCAATTTTGTGACAATTAAGACCAAATTAATCATAGAAACTGGATTAGGAAATACCTTCATTTTTTTAAAAAAAGTAACCGGATAAACAATAATAAAAATATATAATGACTGACAACATTGCTGGAGGCCAGATCAAGGTGCAATGTGGCTGCAATCTTGCACATAATTGAGACTGCTTGTACCCTACAGAATTAAATGGGATTTTAAACAGCCCTTCCCAAAAAGCAATCTTCCTAACCACCCCAAAGTGAACTTTTCAGGATTCATTTCTCCTATAAATGAGTGTAGGGTAGCAGCCTAATTATTCTCACCATCTGAGCTTTTTGTGGTATGATATTTATATTCATAGAATCTGTTTCTTAGAAATGCAATCTGAGAAAAACTCATGCAAAAGTGTTTTCCGTTTCCTCTTCAGTTTCTCACGCAGTTTGCATTTTGGCTAATTCCTCCTTTTTTTTTTTTTTCTTGATTTGTTTTCTACACTTCCAGTTAAATAATTCCAAGATTTTTACTGATTCTGCATCCTGTCAACATCTATCTTTTCCTTCGATTAAGAAATCACTTAGCAGCTCAGTCATTTTTACAAGCATTAAAGTTTAAAATAATTAGAGGTAGGTACACCCTTTCCCGGAGTTTGTTCGTGCTCTTTCAGGAAAACTCCTTGCCGCATTGTACCTTTGATAAAAAAAAAATCCACAGGGAGGCAACATTATATTTGCTACGGAGGATTTCATCTTCATTTCATTAGCCCATTTCCCTTTTATTGGAATGAATTGTAGTTTGCAATACAGTTGTTTGCCAGTAATATAACCAAATCCCTACTAGATAATATTTAACAACAGCCTCTTTGTTATTTTTTTCCTCTCTTAAAGGTGAACCCGAGATTCAATGTTGTTGTTTTTTTTTTTTAAAAAAAAAATATCATTACCGGGTACAACGATACAAGTAGGTCTCCTCCCCTCCCTTCTCCTCTCTGCGAACGTCGCCCCTTCTCTTTTGTGAAAATGGCGGATAATGTTCGCTAGTCGACCTTGAGTTACAATTCAATCAGCTCTCAATCAGTAATAATGAGATTGCACTTAAGGGGTTCCCAGATAAAATTATTATTGGCATTATTTGTAGTTCGGTTTGGCTCGCCAGAAGTAAGCTGCACTTCAGAAGGCGGCGGTTGATCTTCTTTCGTTGCCTTTTTTCAGCTGAGGTGCGCAGGGAAACCTGGCTCCAAGCGACATCTGGAGTTACCCTCACCACTTCGGGGCTGGCCTCGGAGGAAACGGGGGCTTTCCCTCTTCCCTGAAGCTGTCGAGAGGGGCTTACTGTACAGAGCACCTATGAACGTCCCCCCACCTGTTTGTTTTTTTTTTTTACTCTTGGCCATTGAAGGCCCCGTGTGGGTCGCCGGGTCTACTGGCTTCGGGTGGCCAGAGCAGCTGAAGGAGGCGGGCGGGCGGGCGGGCGGACTGGCGCCTTTTCCTCCGCAATGCCCAAGTTAGGAGGGAAGATTCTCTGCCGAGGTTGAACCCCGAAGGGGAAGGAAAGAAGCCAGGGGAGCTGTCGATCCAGGACCCAATACTAGAGGGGAGAAGAGCCACTTCGCGATTCGCTGGGGAGGAGGACTTATTACCATGTCCGCCCATACAGCAAGCTGGCATTGACCAGGCCGCCGCTATAATCGACGGCAGCCGCGTCCATCTGCGCCAGGGAGCTCACTTGGCCGTGCAAGGACGGCGGGCTCGGAGACATCTCCTCCAGGTCCGGGGCTTGGCCCAGCGAGGTCCCTTGCGTCTGCGGGTGCTGGTGCTGAGCAGCGCTCCCGCCTGCCCCGTTGCTGCCACCGGCGCCGGAAGCTTGGCCGCCGGGGGCTTGGCCGGGGGCGGCGGCGGCGGCGCTGTGCGGACAGGGCTTGCCGTCCTTGACCAAGACAGGCACCGCCACGCGTCTCGGAGACGCCGCTTGCGTTGGGGCCGGCGGCGGGCACAGGCTGGGTCCCTCCGGCGGCTGTGGCTGTTGCAGCTGCTGAGCCGCCTTGTCTTTGGCTTGCCGCTTCATCTTGTAGCGGTGGTTCTGGAACCAGATCTTCACCTGGGTGGGCGTGAGGTGGATTAGGCTGGCGAGGTGCTCCCTCTCGGGCGCCGAAAGGTACTTCTGCTGCTTGAAGCGCCTCTCCAGTTCATAGACCTGGGCTTGCGAAAAAAGCACCCTTCTTTTCCTCCGCGGAGTGGCGTGAAGACCGGGGCCCATGGCTTTGGCCGCCTCCGCGATTCCCGACAGAGCTCCCATGCCGGCCATGTTCATAGCCCCGGAGGGCCCCATCAGCCTGGAAACTGAGCACACGGGGGGGCACAAGTTAAAAGAAGTTGTCATGAAGGCCAAAAACCAGAGGAGAGGCCACTCTGAAGGTCATAATCACCAGTGGCATTTTAAAACAACTTTAACATTAGTGGTTCCCCTCTAAGACAGAAAAGGACCCTCTTTCCTTCACCATTCGACCCTGGGATTCTAGAGGATCCCTGAGCACCTCCAACAATTCTCCGTTTTCCCACTGTGAAACTTGGGATTTTCTCACCCAGGCCTGGGAAAAAGACACTTGAGGAAGAGCATTACCCCAAAGAGAGCTTCAAATGGGACGCCCTTCAGAGCGCACACCCCCACCCCTGGCAAAGAGAACCCCCCCCCAGCTGATCCAGTCCCTCCCTCTCTCGCCCCTCCCCGCTTACTCGTGGGGTACCGGGGATCCGGGTTGGCTCCATACCAGCCGGAGGCTGCTGTGCTGCTGCGCACGCTGTCTGGATAGGACGCCAGGTCGCCCACGTTGCCCAGCCCGCCGTTGCAATAGCCAGCCATTGAACCGTGAGCGAACTGCGAGACCCCCGCGTGGGCCATGGGGTGGTAGGCGGCAGTGTTGTGGCCTGCCATGGAGTGCTGCTGCTGGGACGGGAGGGCTGAACTTGAGGTCTGGCGGTAGGCGGTGGCGCCCACTCCCACGCCCAAAGGTGCACCCAGACTACCCTCCATGGCGCCGAACTTCTTGTAGGTCTCCTCCATGGGACTCAGGATGTCGGAGACGGAGAAAGGAGTCGTGTGCTTGGGGCTGAGCGACATGGCTCGCCGGGCAGCCCCTGGGCTCCCTTCCCGATCGCCCGGCGGACGCTGCTGTCGAGTCCAGAGAAAAAGGGGGCTGCGCGGGAACCCGGCAGGAGGAGGAGGAGGAGGAGGAGGAGGAGGAGGAGGAGGAAGAAGAGGGGGCGAAGTGGAGGGGGAGGTGGCAGCGTCGCGCCAGCCCTCCCTTCCCTTTCTCTCTAGCTAGCAGTTTATTTTAGACCGGCGGCGCCAGGTTTACGACAGATACCGCGGGGGGCGGAGCCACACCGCTGCCCCCCAGCCGCTAGCCCCCCCCCCGCGCGCGCTCCCTCCGCCGGGATTGCTTGCCTGGCGCCCTCTCCAGCGCGGAAGGGGTTCCCGAATTTCCATTCTCAAAGTCTGAAAAGATTGGCAGACACCCCCCCCCAACAGTTCTTCATTCATTCCCGCGCGCCACGCCGAGAGGACAGACCCACAAGGTGTTTGCGGGGGTGGGGGGCTTTCCAGCCGCGTCCGTTGACGAGTGTTGCTTTAGCTTCAGCCTTCCCTTCCTCCCCAGCTAGGTCGGGCTCCCGACTGGAAGGGTGTCTTTCTGCCAGCTCCCGCACCGATGGGAGATGCTTAGAGGGTATTCAACAGAATATCCTGAATTTGGCCAAGTAAGATGGTGCGTTGGCCACTCTGGTCTCGAAGGTCGGCGGTGTCTCCGAGGAGGGGGTGGGCCACTCCTTTTTGCTCCTTAGTACAACGTGGCAGTTAAAAGGAAAGCGTTGCAAACCGAAGGGGTGATGATAGTTTGGGGTACTAAGGCCGCCCTTCCTTACAGGGTTCTCGTGGTGGTGGCTGACGCGCTGAACGTTCAAAAAAGGAGACTGCACGCACACACAAAGTAAAGGGTGCGACGTGCTGAACTACGAGGACCCGCTTGAACTAGTTGATTACAAGATGGGGAGCCATCCCGACTTTTTTTTCAAGAAAAGGGGGGAAGGTAGGTAAAAAAATGTTTTAAAAGTAGGAGCGACCTTTCCGCTCCAGCGACCTCGGTAAGATGGAAACTGCCGTTCCGCACATCTGGAAAACTTCAGAGTGGGATACTGGTATATAGTAACTGCCCCAAGAAGACCCAAGAATGCGGACACAGCCTTGCGAAACCGAAGGCTGGCACTGGCGAGAGAATAATGTATAGGAAACGCTGGCTCAGCCTCTCAGATCCCGGCTTATGGAGACAAGGCAATAGACTCCCGGGCAGGGAGCAAGACTGTCACCCAGGGAATCCTGCCAAAGATCAGTATTGCTTCTTGTCTGCAACAGAGTTGATCTCCGAGCTTCGTGGTGCTGATGTCCTTTGGGAGGAAATCCCATGGTAACACACAGGCTTTGTTCTGGCCTTATCCTTAAGAGAGGGCTACTTGTCTCTAAAGACGTCCTCGGTCGCTGAAGTTTCTAAGTGTGGAAAGAGACCTCTGCTCATCGCAGATAATTGTATAATTGTACCAAGTCCCTGAGAATCCTCTTTCTCCCTTGTAGAACCAGACTGACTAAGACACACACACACACACACACACACAACTCAGCGCCCAATCGCGCCAATAACAATTTGTTTAATAAGTAAACAAATAATAAATAAAACAAATTTAATAAATAAATTTAATAAATGAACAAATAACAATAAATTTGTTACTGAGCAAACATTGGTCTGAAGATAATGACCCCCCCCCGACCAGAAGTTCAAGGCACGTGCTTTACAAGACTCAGAATGTTGCCCATAATCTGGACAAGACGGTTCTTTTTATTAAAGAGAAAAGGTTGAGAGGTGCATTAAACCACTGATGAAGAAAGTCGGGTACAGGATGCAAAACAGCTTTGCCTTTCACGGCAGAAGTCCAGCTACAACTGGTGAACAATGCCCTGGGAGAAAAAGAATGGGTTTCCATTTAAATAGCTGGACTTCCTGAAACTTGCAGCCGAAGAGCGGGAAGACAGTCAACGATTCCTTGAGCTAGACCCAGTGGCTGGAAAGATGTTTAACTACGCATCTAAATCAGACGGACCTAAAGCGGACCTCCCCTTTTGCTTCTTTTTGTTTGACAAGTTAATCCTGAAGTGAAGGTAGGCGGACCCTGGGCTCCTGGCTTGAGCTGAAGCTCAATGGGGAAAGTGCTTTTTCCCGTTTTGTCCCCTCCGCTTCTGGGATCACGGAGAGCTACTTCAGCGTTCGTAGATTGAGGGGTTTTACACCAATTCATAGGCAGAGAACAAAACCGAGTGATTCCCCTTGTCCTGCTCTCGTTTATCAGGATGAACCAAAGAAGATGAGTTCCTTCCCGAATTCCAAGGAGTAATCTTGAGTGATAACGAAGCAGGGAGACCTAGCGCTGATGATACCAAGGACCCACCGTAAGGTCACAGCTCTTGGGTTAGGGAAAACTCTGCCAAGGCAATGCCCACGCTGCTGGCGGTCGTGAGAGGCGAGAGAGTGCTCAGCTTGCAAGACGAGAGGTGCGGAGGTCAGGCCGCCCTGCAAGCGCCGCGTTCCGTTCTGAAAGCAAGCCGTGTGCTGTAATTTGTCTCCGCTTATGCAAAAGTGAAGAAGTAGCCTCCCTTCCCCAAGCTTAAGATAACTCTCTGAATATTAATACTTCACGGTATTTCATAGAAAAGGAGCAGGGCCCCAAATAGGAAGAGTTGGTGGCACTAAAATGGCCGAGAGGGAGCGAGGCGCGTGGAAAACAAGCGCGCGCGTTCCCCCTTTCGCGCGCTTTCTCCAATCACCCCCCCATCCCGAATTCCCGGGGGGCCCAGGTGCGCGGTTAAAAAAAAAAAATGGCTGACCAGCTAATGGGGCGAATCAGCCTGAGGCGCCTAGAATGCAGGTCCGCATTGGGTTTCACCCATAAACTGTTGGCGTTTTCTGACTAAAACAACTTTTCTGCAACATCCCAAAAACCCTAGATTGCAACTATTGTTTGGCCAACAGTACTTCAGACTGCAGATGGGACTCACTTGACTGATCCGTTTGACTGGGAAAAACATGTGGGCGAAAAGAAAAGCCGGCAGGAGAAGATGTGCCGTTTCCGTTTCCGAGAGACAGAATCTTTTGACGTGGAAGGGAGCTTTCTCTCACTGTTACAGTTTGAAGTGGCACAGCCTAGACAGGGGTGTTTCTGTTGTTTAAAAATGCACCACAACAATATACTTAGGCCTATTTTTCTCAGGGCTCTTAACTGATACAGAGCTCAAATCAAGAGTTAAGTCCTTTTGAGGATGAGGAGCAGGAACACCCCCTCCCCCCAATATTTTAAGACGCCTCAAAAGAGTGTTAAACCCATATTAAAACTATTTTGCTGAAACGAATGAATACTGTTTAACTTATTTAATTTTGGCTGAAACTCAAACTCTAGAATACAAACTTATATAAGCAATTTTGTCAAGCTTTTCTTTAAAATGTATTGACATTTGTTGCATATTTGGTCAATGTCTGGGGGAAGGTGTCACAGGCCAAATGACACCTAGATAAAGAAGAGGAAGTGGAAGGGGGGTTTTGCTTTCCAGAAATGGAGAGGACCATGAAATACACAAGTTTAACTTTCTCATAATGTCCTCAAATGAGTTTTCTGTGCACATATTCCTTCCCATAGATTGATTGTTAAAGGCAGGTTTTCCATTACTTATTCCAATATTTCAGATTTCTTTTCATAATTTACACCTGAAAAAAGCAGAGCAAAATATTTCCTTAGTCTGCTGATTTCTCATTAAAACTGAGGTAGCTTAAAAGTGCTACCTATTGTTTCTTCCACTTCTACTTTGTTTAGAGCACTAGAGGCATAATCCTACAACAAATCTGCACTTAATCTGAAAGCTTCCTTTGCTTTGCGGGGGGGGGGGGGAGTGGAAACATTTAATACTCAATCAGTTTGAGAAAAAAATGGTTTGTTTTAATCCTCCATCACTGGGGTTTCTAAGAAGAGATTGGACAGTCATTTGTCTGGAATGATATAGGATCTCCTGCTTGAGCAGGAGGTTGGACTAAAAGACTTCCAAGGTCCCTCCCAATTCTATTATTTTCTATTCTATTCTATAATATTTTTAAAGATCTCATCACATATTGCAATTTATTAATACCAATGGCATAAAGCCCGTTTAACTGAAAACAACACTTAAAAAGAGATGCCTTTAGCATAGAGAACATAGTTGTTCACATATTTAACAGTTCAACTATATTATGAGGAAAGCATGTTGGGTATATTTGTCTGGGACTTTTGACACAAACAGGCCTCATCCAAGGAAGGGTACACTCCAGATTAATAATCAATTGTGCTAGCTGTGCATTGCAATGCTGCCCTGTCCCCATGAGCTGCCTCAATCAATGGGGAAAATCACAACACAGACTACACTGGGAAGGAAATAAGGCCCTGTTGTTATAAAGAAAGATAAGTACATAGTTAGCCAATCTTGGCTGAGGTCTACCTCCTCGCACCTAGAATAAATTAAGCAGTATTAATTAGGACTTGGGTGGGAGACTACTAGGCAATCGCTGGGACTGTAAAGCAGATTGGAACATTTTAAAAAAATGTTAAACTCATGAAGAAGTTAATGACAAACTGCTTCCTTACTGCTGCCTAGAAAATTACATAGACAATTCATGAAGACATCAGGAGATGAATTCAATTGGAGACTTCATCTTTATCTAAAAATACTTCAGATGATAGTTTTTGGATAATGCCTTACCAGTCAAATAAAATAAACCCATGCTTTCTCAGTATTAATCCCCATTTAGTTCAGTGGAATGTATTCTCAAATCAGTAGCTGTAAGACTGCAGCGTTAATGTTTCATAAGTACAATTGATATAGTCTTCCACATACTAACCTTAATGCTCCCTTACACCAATCGAATGCTCCTGAACATTCTTTTAGACTCTTATTTTTATATATGCTTTCTTTTTAATATATCTTCTAGTTTTTCATGATTTTTTTTATCTATTTTCTATGCTTTTTAATTGAATGTAAGACCATACTCCTTATGCCAGTATATGGTCAGGTGGGATTATGCTTCTTGGATAGATTGGACATGATTGGCCTTGCATTGGTTCTGTCATGTTCTTAAATGCTACATTTACATTGATAGAACTTATGGACCAAAAGGAATTTTTATGGTTGATTTAGGAAATAAAATGAATTTTCCCCATACATTTATACCAGTTGCCTTTATATTTCTCTCCCTCTCTTTGTAGTTGGTGCTCTGCAGATTGCAATGGGAATGAGAACAGTGGCGATAAAGAACACATGATCTGCTCCCTTCCAAACTACTAAGATGAAAAGTGTGTAAATATTTAACTTTTTCTTTAAAGGCTAAAATGGGATGGGAGCCTTTGGGCCAGAAAGCATAACAATAAAATAAATACAGCTGTAATTATCAATAAAATTTAAAAATAATATATAAAATACATTATTACAGTAACTGTAGTACAGATGCCAGTGGCAATCATCAAAATTTGTGCTATACCTAAACCCTAAATAGGAGAGATGCAAGAAATTATAGCACAAAATCAGACGATCTGGAAAGATATGTGAGGGCCCTGGTTAAATAGAAGCAGTGACAGATAGACATTGTGCTCTCTATCAGGGTATTTTTTTAAAAATGGAATAAATATATATCTTCCTTGATTCCTTGTAGAGAGAACAACAAAGAAGCATATGACTTAAGGAGTCCCCAGAGCCACATGGATATAAGCACTGCTGAAAAGAGATATTTATATACTGTCCCCACACCTGCGGAGTACATCCAGACTGGCCAAGCTGAAAGCACAATGAAATTTCAGAATTAGAATTGAAGATAAGACAGTTCCACAGGCCCATTTGAAAAGAATCCATAAACTGTGTAGTTGAATACTAGGCTTAAAGTGGTTTGAAAATCAATATCCCAGACTATCTCTATCCATAGAACAGCCTTCTTGATGCATCTTGGAACTGTGAGTATTGCTATTATTAATTTGGACTGGACAGCTTTCAGGATATTAAACTTTGTAAAAATGCAAATTGAACACCACAAAGAACCTGGGAGATGATCTTAGCAAGAAAAACCTTGTGAGATTAAAATATTTCCTTTCCTCCTTTCAACAGAAGAACCTTAAGACACTATGGAGCTACATTGGGTTACACTTACCTGTTAAGAGAACTTCAGGATAAGGAAGCCTAGGACACCCCAGGTTTTTATAAATACATACATGCTCTACTGGAGGGGGGGAAATTCACTGATTTGCCATTTACGTATATAACTTACTGTTATGTCGTGCAAACACTAACACATGATAATTTACTGTAAGTTGTTCTTTTAGGCAAAAGGAAGTCAGTGCCCTCAATGCCTTCTCATTCCCACTTGGAAGACAGGAAACATGACTCCATTGTCTACATATAGCAAAGCTGGAATTGTGGGGTCCTTGATCCTCTCTGAGCTTGGTTGATTCCTTGCAGACATTTGTTTACCCAAACTAGATAACATCATCAGTGCTAGTCCTGGAATTACATGACCTGCTAACCGTGAGAGTGATGATTAGAAGACGAAAGGTCCTGAATTATTGAATTCGTGTGCAAACTGAAAAAGGGAGGGCTAGAATATACCCTTGCCTTACCCCTCTTTCGGTGGAAACAACTCCAGACATGAGCTCCCACACAACAGAATGAGAACCGTAGGAATAGGCAGCACATTGTCTATTGACCCTTCGAAACTACTAAGGCAGAAACTCTGTATAAGTATTGAGCTTTTTCTCTAAAGTCTAAAATGGGACAGGAACCCAGTATGCCTCTCATTTCACACACCAATGTTCCCATGTTAGAAAAGGAAGCCTGAAGAAGCTTTCTGTTCACTTTCATGCGAGGAAGATCCTCACAGAGAAAACAGATTTGCTGAAAGGGCGGAGGATTCTGTCCACGCATATATATTGGCACCCTCCACAGTTGCCTTCTCAAAATGAGAAAGTCAGGGTCTAAGGCTAAGCAGTCAGGGATAGGGAGACTACACAGGAACCTTGCTGAACAGCCCTTTCTGGTTGCAGCTCTCCAGTGGGAAAGCAGATTTTTGTCTATCTAGAACAGGGGTTCTCAACCTTGGCAACTTTAAGACTTGTGGACTGTTGAAGTTGCCAAGGTTGAGAACACCTGTTCTAGAACCAGGGAAATGTTGAGAAACAGGAATAAGCTGTAATTGTTTTAGGAGTTAAAATGGCCTTTTGCAACTGATCTGAATGCTCTGAAGGACAATAAATAATTTTAGATGCCTTACTTTTGTAGGTCAACCCAAGAAATTTTGCTGCCTGAAGAAGAGTGTCCAATTAACAAATCATCATCATACAAAGCAAAACAAGTTATTCTTCCAGTGGATAGATCCACAATGCCATCTCCCCTTTTGGGACTAGAATAACCGATCTTACCTTATATGATGGGGTTTGATGACAACAAGAGTATCCAATGGGTGTGATCAAAAAGGTCAAGAGGGGAATATGCTACTGTAATCAAAGCTCTTCCCCAATTTTTTAATGTGAATTACATCTGTGTCGCACATAAAAATAGGTAGAACTTTAATCGCACCATTGTGGTCATCATTTTTTTAAAATCATAATTTATGGATACCCTAGATGATAGGATATTTTTCTTTGAAAATGAAATATCTTGGGCTGGCTCTACAATTTCCCATCATATTTCAACAGTGTTTTTAAAAAACTGTCATTTTCTCATGAGGAATATCCCCCATTTAATTTATATCTTTTTACCATTTCTCACCATTAAGAATAAGTTAATTGTTTCATAGCAAGGACACACAAAAGGAATGATTGGTCCATGTTACAGTAAACATGCAAATTAAGTAGAAATAGATGCTGGTTGCTTGAAATTATGTGGTCAGAAATAATAGGTAAAACGTAAAGATTTCCTAGTCCAGCTGTGTCAAACTCCAGAGCGCAGAGTTCACCTCTGTTTCTTGGAGGGAGAAACGAGGAGTCAGCATTGTCTGAAAGCATTTTCCATGGTCATGCTGAAGGTACATGGAATGCTGTTTCCTTTCCACCAATGTGGTACCTATTTATCTACTCACATTTGCATGCTTTCAAACTGCTAGGTGGGCAGACGTTGTTGTGCACTGCCAGGGTGTTGAACCTGAGTTGTCAGCTTTCCAGATGACAAGTTCAGCATCTTTAACTGCTGAGTCATTGCAATAACAACAGCAACAGCAACAACAACAATAATAATGGTGTGACAAGTTCAATGACCTGATTTTCAGTTGCTTGAACAGGGATGAGATTAAGGTCCTGTCACAAGGATATAGCACAGAAAAAGACATTGGGCATGTTTGCACCATGGCCAGGCTCAAGCAGGAAAAAGCCCTATGACGTATGTACCACTTTTCCAATTAATAAAGATGTGAGTAGAATAAAGTGAGTATGCACAGTTGAAAACAGCTTCTGTGAACCTTGCCAATAATATGCCTGCACCAAGGGGCTACCTCTTTCAAAGGCTCTGCACAGGTCTATAGTGTTGGATGGGAAAGAATATATGTGTTATGATCTGGGACACATCCTTTGATGATTGCAGATTCCTGGATGAAAGACATAGAAGAAACATCACACCTTCAAAATCTGTCCCATTTATGAGCAAAATCAAATATCTATAATGTTGTGCAATTATGGGGTCTGCACAATATCAGATTTTAGACCAAAAAGAAAGATAAATCTATCTTCTTCCAGAAATTCAATCCTCTGTGCAGGAATTAAATAACAGCAGGTCACCAAGGACTTGATAGTGCTAGATAAATTGCTTTAGCCTGGACAAGTAAGACGTCATGATATACCATATGCAGCACTCTGCACACTGCAGAACACAGAATTCAAGCCATTGTTTTTTGAACCTTGTCACTGGAATGTTATTGCTCCACATTTCAATGGTTCTGTCTAGTCAAAGCAATGTTAGATTGTGTCTTGCTGATTTTAGTCTTTACAATTAAACATACTTACCCACAGTAATGGGTAAATTAGGGTTGACTCAAACTCTAGCAAGAGTCGCTTTGTGAGGAAGATAGGTGATCTTCAAATTGGATGGTTGGTTGGTTGGATGGATGGATGGATAAATAGATAGTAGATAGATTTAGATAATTTTGCTAGTTCATCCAGGACACTGAACAATAAGCTAGCCATACCATCTATGTTTGCATAACACACTAGAACAAAAGGTGCTTTAGAGTTTCCTGTGAATGTAGCAATCCAGTGATACAGCTTTCCTCCCCATTACTCAATAATATTTAATAAGCATACACAGGAATCATCTGAGGATTCCCAGTAGGCTGTAGATTGTAAATTCTAACTGATCTGTCTTCCTCTTAGAGTAGACGAACCTACAGAAATATCTATTCGTCAAATCCTCCTTTATCTGTTAGTAGCATGGAACCAGTTTTAGAGGGTCTCTTGGCACAAAGTCCAGGTGCCCTCTTTGGAAAATTCCTTGATTAAATTCTTAGGATTTAAAATCTTGACTAGTTAAGTCAGTGGTCTGGTTCATACTTCATGCTAAGCCATAGTGTGATTTGTTTTCTTTTGGCTTAGCATGATGTGTGAGATCAGCTATTATGATTATACAACACACATACTATTGTCTATGAATTTGGCCATCATGAGGTAGCACAAAGCCAGAAATCATTTTGCATGTTTCAGTTTATTGTAAAAACCATTGAACAAACTACCTGCATTTGCTGATATTCAATGAGAAATAAGTTGTAGTTCAGTTACATTTTTTGGCTGTAGTTATACAAGTTGGACTGCTTGGAATACTTTTACACAAAACAAAAGAAGCCTTGGAAAGACGACCCATCCTTCTCGATAGACCTAAATTATACATCTGATTATGGTATATTAAGTCTAGGATAAAATAACATGTGGATAGTAGCAGTGAATATTAAGTAAATAACAAAGGGAATTTTCTGGCATATTCTACTTTGCAGGATAAGAAAGATAGATGTCTATCTTGGGAGGGGGGTGGCTGCTCTATTCGCAAGCCTCCCTGAGAGTTACATCAATGGGGGAATTATTTAAATAATGGTTTTAAGCTACTGGAATTATTCTAACTGATATTACTTTGAGAATGAGATAGAAGCTCAGATGTGTGTAGGCCACCTCTTCCACTTTCCTGCATAGTAAAAGCTTCTGAATAGATTAGGCACAGTGGAAAACCAACTATTTATTGAGACTGTCAGAATACACAAATCTTTAGGATTTTATTATAAATACATGTTTGTATCTCATCTTTCTCAGGATTTTTAGGATAAATCCCTTTCTCAAATGCTGGGCACTGGAAGCAGATTTCAGAACTCTTTTTTTCTTTTTACAGGCACAGGGAATATGCTAGTATAGCAGGAGAAGATTCTGGCCATTTCCTGAAAGGTGACCCATTTTTTTCCCCTATTCAATCATGTCCAGTTCTCCAAGATAATTCCTTGCAGTTTCCTTGACAACTTTTTTTTAGAAGTTGTTTGCCATTGCCTCCTTCCTAGGACTTAGAGAAAGTAACTGGCCCAAGGTCACATAGCTGGCTTTGTGCCTAAGGTGGGACTAGAATTCATGTGTTTCAGTTTCTAGCCAGATGCCTTACCTACACCTAACTGGGACTCATCACCTTGTTGTTTTTACAAGGAACGTGTTAATTATATTGGAGAAGATTTTGGCCAACCTCTCTTAAAAGATGCCTCTTATTATAACCTATTAGTCACAATTTGGACATATTTTTTTGCTTCCCTTCTACTGCATTTATCTGAAAGGAATTGTAAAGCCAACTGTCTAAAGGGGACAGACTCACACAGAGCTTGAAGCTGAAGAAATAATAGAAGGTGATTCAAAATTCTGAAAAGTTCCATTCACTTCATGGGCTTCCCAAGAGAGTTTTCCGCTGGATTGGAACCCAAGTCCTTGCTATTATCAAAACACATTGAAGGCACATGCTTTTCTCAGGTTTAATCCTCACAAAACATCTCTAGTTAGCAATTGCAAGCCAAAAGAATCGAGAAGTGCTAAGCTCGTTGGGTAAAGCTATTAAGTTAACAAGTCAAAGCAGGCAGGATTATTGATGTTAAAGAACTGAATAGTATATAATTCAATGCTTAAGTCAGAAAGCCTTGAGGTAACTATGAAGGTCATTTTCCTGAAATATGCCATTATACAATGTAGTACAGTAATTATGCATTTGAAAGTAAATATAGGGGATTGATATTTCAGTAAAATAGCATTAAAGATAGCAAAAGTCTCCAGGGCTGAACCAGTTGCCCTTAACAGAAGCTTCACAAGAAGATAATACTGTGTTTTAAAAAAAAAAGTTAAAAGAACTCAGCCTTCATGGTACTTGTCTCCCCTATTCAAGGCTTTACTCTTTTAGAAGGCGCTTGATACATATTGTCATGAAATAATTGGATTCTTTCTTCTCCCTATGCAGGTGCATCAGAACAAAACAAATAAAAAGTCATAAGGTCCTTTGGAATAAGTCTAAAAATGGCACTGTGGGTCATCAGCATAGATGTATTTCCTGCAGAATTATCTCAATATTGAAAGAAATGATGGCCTTTGCCCCAAACCAGAAACGTGAAATAGTGCAACAATCTACCTAAAGTCCCAGCAGACTAGGGGATTACTGGGAGATGAAGGCTTTGTCATTGTGATAGTTGTTTGGAGGCCAGTTCAGGTCAGAACTGATCAAGACTGATATAAACCCTCATTACAAACCAGAAGACCCTTGGAGGAAGAGCTGGAGGTGAGCCAGGCTTTCCTTCCCACTTCTGTCTTAATGCTGTACAGGCTAGATTTCAGTTATAGTCCTACTCTGCAAAACATAAAAATAGGAATGTGAGTGTGGCATATTGATATAGAGAGGCTTCAGTTGCAGTCTAAATACAGTACATACATTACAGAATGCAACATTTCTGGAAATATTACGTTGGGGCTCAGAGATGGACTATCTGATCATAAGCAGGAAGTGATTTGTTTATTTATTACTGAATATATACTCTGCCTTTTTATTCCAACAATAACAAATAAATAAATGAAAACAAGCATATTGCAATGGTTGTGATTCAGCCAGCTCAGGAAGGGACATGGTGCATAGTTTCAAATCCAATGTGTTCAAGGAGCATTATGGCACTGGGAACCTGCAGTCTCATTCAGGAAAAGATTCACTGGCCATTCTGACATCTTATCCTTTATGTTGGATGCAATGCTATTCCCAGGGGACACTTTTTCCACATCTCTCCAATGTAAAAATTGACTTTCTTTTCTGAAGTTTAAAATATCAATTTATTTTTTTATTCATCAACTAATTTTAATATTATTTAGTTGCATATTTAAGCTTACTAACTGAAAAAAATGGCATCTATCTTTTTCATTTGTTGTACATATGAACACCAAGTAATTCTTAGTTGTATAAATAATGAATTATTTTACTATTCTTTAACTATTAATAGTCATGAATTCAGGAATGAACAGATTGCAAACTCATAATCTGGATCTCAGTTTATAAGGTTAGTCATAAGATTAGTCTTTGATGAAATAAATAGAATTATATTTTGTAAGCTATAAATCTGTAAATAGCTTTAAGAAGAAAGATAATTATACTTTATATCTAAGGTGATTTTTTTGCTTAAATATTCTTTGTTCAGCAAAATGGAATTAATAGAAAGATATTACTACAAGTGCTAGCTTTTAAAACAGCAAATTTCAATATATGTGTGTTCTTGAAATAAAGTGTTTCTACCTTATATGGAATTTAGTCCATAGCAGATATGTTTAGAAACACTAAATTGCAGTGATGCTTAAAGGTTTGCGAACCCATTTGAAATTCAATATTTCTGCATAAATATTATGTAAAGCATGACCTGTTCTCCACATCCTAAAACTATTCAAAGAGAACCCAATTAAACAAATGAGTGGAAAACATGAAATAGTATTTACTATAATATATATAATTTAAGTAAGGGATACAACAAAATGGGAAAAGTAACAGAAAAAGGAGGAAAAACAAACATATAATATATACAGGAAAACAGCTCAGCTTTTAAATATAGCATTAAATCTTCACACAGCATTGTAGAGTTGACAATAACAATGATCAGCCTTCCCCTACATGTGCAAAGAACCAGTTTATTATAGTAAATATGGATTAGTAATCTAAAACTGTAAACTGGGGATGGCACTGTTTTTCCATTGTTTGTTAAATACATAGTACTTCATACGACATGGGTTTTAGCAAGTGTGACACATGTTTCCTGCTTCCCACATCACAGTATGGATGGTAAAGGAGAAGGAAGGAGTATGTGCACATCACCCACAGCTGGTTAGATGTCTAGTGTTATGTATTGAATATAAATTGTGTTAATCCCTGCTAAAGTGAAACTAACTTCTCCAACTGCTTATGAAGCTAAAATGAAACTAACCTTTAGATGACCCTGATTGTTAACTCCAACTGTTTTGGAGGGAAACTTTGAACATTCATATTTGGGCAGGTTTTTCAAGTATTGTGATTGGTTAAGGCCCTGTGGGCTCAGAGTATAAATTACAGGCAATTACCTGCAGTTCTCTAGTTCTAGTTTGAGTCAATAAATAACATTGTAACTATGCTGGTCTGCTCCTTGCCTACTGAAGCCCACTACACAAAAGTGGTGACGAAGATGGGATGCTGCAGAGGAGACAGCTGCTGCTAACCAAGAGACTGAAATCATTGGGTGATAGGATGGGTAAAGAGCCCTGGCAGGCCTAGTTCTCACACCCGCCTACCAATAAGCCACACTGGAGACACGCTGAAATCACTGGGTGTCAGACCAGGTAAAGAGCCCTGGTGGGACCATACTCCCCGCCCTGCCTGCCACCAGTAAGACACACTGGAGGCACAAATATACCTGAGGGATCTGTCCCCAGGATCCCAAAGTGCAGCACAGCTCCAACCACAGCAGTACAGGCATTAACCAGCACCACAGGGGCCTCCCCAAATGGCTAAATTGGGAAGGCTCAACGAGTTTGATATTACTCATCCGGAACAGTGGAGCTCATACATCTCCCGAGTAGACAACTATCTCTGGTCTAACCAGATCACAGACGATGGCCTGAAGATGGTAACCTTACTATGCGTCTGTGGACAAGCCATGTTTAATATCGCTGAAAACCTGATAGCACCAGTAAGTATAGAGACTGTGGCCTACGCAGACCTCAAGAAAAAATTAAGGGAACATTTTGAACCGAAACTCTCAGTAATCGCCTGGCGCTATGCATTCGAGCAATGTGAGCAGAGATCCGGGGAATCTGCAGTAGAGTTTGCAGCAGCCCTTCTCCAAGCTTCACGCCAAAGAGAGTTCCCTGACCTGGAAGACCATCTCAGAGACAGGTTCGTTTGTGGCCTGCATAATAAAGAATTACAGCAGCGCCTATTCGCCATGGAGAAACTGACTTTCCAAGACGCATTGAAGGAAGTCATGGCTGAAGAGGCTGCTGGAGGGGTAATGAAGACTCTCCAGCCACCTAAAACAGACACTAGCCCCAAAGCGATCCACCAAAAGACCGCAGAAGGATTGGGGGAGGCCAATGAGAGTGAAGAAATTGTTTGCTTGCAGAGAGAGCCACCCAGACAGCCACGCTCCACAGAGCAAGCAACTTCCCCACAGAGCTGCGCTGTCAAGACTGCTAACATAGGATGTTCTTGCTTGCCATATATGAAGAAGCAAACATGTTTTATTTAACCTGCATATCACTTCTAGATTTAAAGCAGATAATACTTGCCTAGTGGATGGGAAAATATGCTAGCCAACCATAACAATATCTCAGCACAGCATTGCCAAGGTCAGCTGTAACAGGAGGCATACGGGAGGGACAATTCACACTTCACATTAATTGGAGAATGTGACCGATGACTGTAAAAACGAAGGAGTGAGTTATGCTTTATTACGGGTGATTGGAGGAGGGAGGATTCAGTTTTTGGCTTAACTTTGTATGTGCTGAAGCTATGCAGAAATAAAAGGATTCTTTAAGGTAAATAAGCCTCAAAGTTCTTTGAAAAGCTGCTTCTTTTTGGAACCATGACATGCACAAGCTGCGGGGGACAGCATGAAAGAGCAGAGTGCAGATTCCACACAGCAGTATGCCGTGCCTGTGGAAAGCAAGGGCACATTGCCAGAGTTTGCAAACTCCCCAGCTGGGAGCAAAGCCAAAACTATCAGGAGAGCTGATTTGGTCGTCAGACTGGGATAAGCTGAGTAAAGGCTCTGGAGCAGTGATTCTCAACTGTTAGGGAAGCTTTCCAGAAAGTTTGCCTTGCAGCACCGTTTGCAGACTGGGGCTTTTGGTGGGCTCAGCAAGGCAGAGACAGCCTGGACAATTCCTATTGGCTTTTGAAAGCCAATAGAATTAGACTCTATTCAAGAAAGTCTATTCTATTGGCTTTCAAAAGCCAATAGATTCTATTTGCTTTCGAAGGCCAATATAATAGAGTCTCTTGAATAGAGTCTCTTCTATTGGCTTTCAAAAGCCAATAGAATAAGAGGGAGTAGCACAGCTAAAGAAAAGGGGAAAAAAATGGCGGACAGCCTTGTTTGGTGACCCCCGGGAAATGATTGTTTGACCCCAAATGGGGTCGCGACCCACAGGTTGAGAACCACTGCTCTGGAGGTTTCCATACAGCCCTGCCAACAGATGAGCATGAGTCACGACGAAGGGATTTTTACATATCACCTTCCCCCCAACAGTGGAGAGCTGCCCAGCCATCTGTCGCTGAAGACTCGGGTGAGTGGAAATGCCCACCTGCAGCTCGCAGTGGGTCACTAGAATACCTGGCAGAGAGATTTGAAGAATTAGAAGAGCGAAGAGCAACTCCTGTTGAGAGAGGCCCCCAGGCCTTCCCTCACAGATCAATTAGCTTTCAACCCCTGGGGTCCCCTGCCAGAGCCTCTAGCCCCACAGAAAGAGGAAGCCCCAGCCTGGGGCCCCTACAGCAAGGTGAAATTGGGCAACCCCCACAGATGAGTGATCAGCCATCTCTGAGCCTACATCAACTAATAGAGGCCTTGCAGCAGCTTGGGGTGGTGCAAAAGCCAGGAGAGCTACAGCCAGTGACCTTGCAGATGAGGGAGGCCCAGCATGTCCAGCAGCCATTGAGGGGCCTACAGCAGCAGAGAGTGTCACCACCCCCTGCAGTCCAACAGGAGAGAAGACCACTACAACCCCCACTTGCATAGCCACCATTGGGAGGCCTGCAGCAGCAGGGGGCACCACCAGCCCCTGCTGGCCAGCAGCAGAGAGCCCAGCAACTGTTGGATCAGCAGGCAGGATGGGGCCAACAGCAACTGGGGGCATCATGTCAACAGCAGAGAGCCCAGCAGCCATTGGATCAGCAGGCAGGATGGGGCCAACAGCAACTGAAGGCACCACAAGCGCGGAGACTAGACCAGCAACCAGGGTGGGGCCAGCAGCAACAGCCCCAGTGGGGGCCGCAGCAGCCTGTGTTTGCACCACCCTTCAAAGCAACCTTCGATGGGGACCCAGAGAAGCTGATTTTTTTTCCTCAACCAAGGGTGCTCTCACTTGAACCACTGGGCCTACCACTATCCGGACCCAGGTGCCATGGTTTGATGTTATTGCATCCAACCTAGAGGGAGAAGCAGCTGAATGGCTGAATAATTTATATAGTGAGCAACCCCCCGAATTGGAAAATCCCCACCTCTTTCTCTTAAGTCTGATAGAACAATTTGAGGACCCATCCATCGGTCTCAAAGCAGCCGGACAGATCCACAAAATAAAACAAGCCGGCAAGCCTGCCCTGGAGTACATGCAAGAATTCCGCAAGATAGCAGGTCGAATAGAGGGGTGGCCTGAGCAGTCCCTAATCCATCACTTCATCGAGGGGTTAGACAATCACCTCTCTCAGGCCTGCATCTATCGAGAAGTACCTGATTGGCTAAAGGAGTGGTACCAGACAGCGGTGAAGCTGGATGTTAAGCTCTCTCGCTATAAGAAGCCTCCCTTTCCTGAAATTGAACCAAAACCAGAACAACCCAGATGACAACCAACCCCCTGGAGACCGCCAACAACTACATCTACCGAAAGACCCAGACCACCTGCA